AGATCAGCCGACCAATCATTCCCAATATCACTCTGCCTACCTAGAAGAGCTACGGAATATCTACCCAATATAGGCGTTGTAATACGGGATATACGTAAATAGTCTAGACAGTCTTGAGCAATCCAGATTGTCCGCAAACGTGGAAGACAAGCCGGGAGCCAATAGGGCCTTGCAAGTATTGCTTTCCTGAAACTCATGGGTATCTCTCTCCCTCCATCTCAACTGCATGATATATATTCCCCTCTATACGGTATTTTCCTGGTAAATAAACAAACTAAATACATTAGGTACGTATTCTGCTATGTCGTTCATTTGTTATTGTACCTTTAGCAGCATTTATAGGTGTCCCATTCAAACATTATAAGGGAAGAAAAACTGTAGACGCCACAAGCGCGCAAGCCACATGTAACGATAATGATAGGTATAATATATGTACATGTATGTACCTAATCCGGAAGTTTGTACAACGTACAACTTATTCATCTTCAAGGAATTTACGGATTACCAGAGATCAGTTACTAGGTAGAGGTATTTCCTGCAGCGTAGAACCGTTGCGAATGTAAAAACGGATTTGTTCCTCGGAAAGAAGCCCCCACCCTTCCGTCGATCTACCTCAGCCTTACCGCAAACGCGGTATGCACTGTGCGCTATACATGCATCGGGTTCGTCACTAGCGCTTTCAATATTCATTTAACTAAAGGTCCACAGTTACATGTATATATGCAGTGATGCGCACCATCCACGCGAGTAACAAGCAACCCTACATGTACACTTTCTAATGCGGACTTTTACATAAATCTGATAATGACGTATTTGTACAATTAATTATACATATGTGCAGTCGTAGACGCAACTGTTTTTTTTTTCTTTTCACGATTACTCCGGTTCATCATACAAACTCTTAACCGATACACTGATAACTCCAATTACACAAGAAATCTTACAGACCGCGAGTGTCTAAGGCTCATACAAGCCGGCAAACTAGCTAAATCGAAATATACAACTATTTTCTCAACTAACCTGGATATTTCTACTTTTAAACGACAAAGACGTTCCTTCCCAAACAACTCTACAACAGTAAATCCAACAGAAAAGAAGGCCAATGCTTGATGCATCTTATTCGATTCCAGCGGTGAGGAACTAATAAGACAGGATACCTAGATCTAAAACTGCTAAGCGATCAGACTACGTGCTCGTTTACTCCGCTAATTTTTTTTAATTTTTTTTAGCTTCATGTCTTTACCCACGCGTCTGCTTCCGCACCAGACATATTTGCATAGTATGTACCTAATGTATGATCAGGTACACCGTCACAATCACTCGGGTCCTTCTCAGAATTTGCGACTGACTTTGTCAGCTTTAATTCGTGGCCTAGGTTGTCTCCTCATACACATCATAAAGGATAGCGAAACGGGTCTGCTTCATGCTGAAAAGCGCTTTGCCCACCTTAGTTATAAAGCTACCGAAGCTAAACTTTTCGAACACACCTCCAAGCACCGGTATAGTATAGTAGACATTTAGGCACATGGGTCCGAGTGACAGATTCTCTGAAAAGCTCCGCTGATGCTGTGCAAACTTTTACAAAGGACCGACACTTTAGTCATGAAGCGGGCCGCGGGACCATCCATCGCTGGGTTCGGCATGTTGGGTGCTGTTTTTCTTACGAACAGATCCTCTTTACTACGGTCGTAATGAGATAGTGTCTCCGGTTTCCTGGTCGACAACACTTACAGCAAAATTCTCGGGAGCCGGCCTTACCGCGATGATGTGTAGTTTATGAGTCTGGATCAACTCTAGTACCGCTGTCGGTACCCTTCTCAAATCCTCAAGCCTCAATTGGGGGAGAGAAAAAAAAAAAAGTGAGGTTGGGGACCGTCGTAGATAATCCGGGGACCAAATTAGATCTAGTAAATGCTCTAACGACTGCGCATTGTCGTAGGGTTATCCTTACTTCCCGAGATTATCTCGGAATCGGTGAAGGATGCAACGTGATTTATACGACATGGATTGACTAGGGATCTGCTCAGACCGCTTGCGGAACTAGACAATACTGTGTACGCACCAAGCAGCAGCGTAGACTGTAATACATACTACAGGTAGGTAGGTATGCTAGGTATGTAGTAATCGTAATAATCAAAAATAGGATCAAGTATTTAAAAGGTCATACACCTTTAATTTAGGTACTTTGATTGTTACACAATGCTTCGATGGATGATCTAGAAGCCCTATGTAGCCCGCTTCTCGGGTTAAGCCGCAATGAGGCTGGTGATTCCGCCGGTATGGCATTGTGGAACGCATGAGAAAAACAATTTAACTACTTTCCGGGGATCCACGGGAACTAGTAAACCGTGTATATACGGTTTGAAATTTTTAACTAATATAATATAATTAAATTTATTAAAATATTTTAAAAATTTATTATATAAAATTTATTTTATTTTAATATATTAAAATAAAATAACTTTTTATATGTACATATAATATAATATATAATATATTATTATAATTATTATTATTATTATTATTATTATTATTATTATTATTTTATTATAATTAAATTATAATATAATAATTTATATTACTTAAATATTATATATATATATATATATATATGTATTTATATTTTTAAACGCTCGATTAGCTATTCAAGAATTTTTAAGCATTTATTTTTTTTGTACTGTAATGTAACGGTCATAACACGGTTTATTGGGATCGTTAGATGCTGGTATGGTAATGCAACCCAGATCTTTGCTTTACTTACCTACGTACATAGTACTGTACCTAGCTGTTCGGTTACCTAATAATACCTACCTATCCTGTGCAAAACACCGTTAGGTAGGTACTAGTCCTTCGTCTAAATATCCTTAATAATCGTTTCCTTTTCTTATTTTACCCGGAGTTAACTGTTACTTGTGGAAGGTGAGGCTTTTTGCGTACCCGTTATCTTCCTTATTCGTCAAACTTGTCAACCGTTTGTTACAAACCACCACCGACGATCCAGGATACTGTAACATGGAAAGGAAAGAGAACTTTTAGATGCTACGAAATCCTTGGAGAGACATTACTATCAATTTCCACCAACCAGTATTCGGCGGCAACGAGCAGATATGATTTGGCATAATTTTGTTGCAAAGCATACAAAAGTCTCGTGAGTGACAAGGACAACCTAGGTTGGGTACGTGCAAAACCGGGAGTCATCCGTAGACTTCCCATCTGCGGAACAAGTCGCGGTGTTTCAAAGCGATGCATAGTAGTGTCGCTTCTAGATGGCAAGTGATATCTGTCTAATAAGCTAGCTTTCCCATACCGGCCATGCTGGCTTACCGGTGTTGCATCGTACTTCGCACTGATCTGACCATGTTACTCGCAGGCTATCCTAAACGCTTACAGCACACAGCGGTCCCATAACTCTCGTGCCTCCGCCAAGCCTATCATATTATGCATCTATTGCTGCTCAGCCTGCTGCCCGGCATACTTTTTTTTTTCTTTTTTTCTTCTTCCTGAACCCTGGTCGGACCTTCTGCTAATCATCAATGATGATACCACACTCCCGGGACAATACAAAATACCTTGAATCCGCATCAGAACTTATTAGTATATCCATCAAGAACTCAATACTATTACTATGTAACTAATAGTAACTCCGACTAAGGATCAAGGAATACAGAAGAAGTGTAGATTAGAATAGACTAGCCTGGTCGTTAAGCTATGTATGGGTAATAACGAATTCAGCTAACAGAACGCGAGTCAAATTTACGATGCAAAACTCATCGTTATTATCGATCTTTCTTTGTTTCCACTAAACAGCCAAACGAACACTGTTTCTGAATACTGCGAACTCCTGGTGAGACTGAAGCTTCCTTATTGAACGATTAACCGGTGGGATCATCTTGTTAGAGATCCCCTAAGCAAGGATAATGCGAGACTTTTAAGAGGGGAAGAGAGGAAAAAAAAAAGACGCGCTGATTTCGGGGCGCGTCTAGATCTGATGATGAATCTCAGTCAGCCGAAACCCCAAAGTACGCAGCCCGGGGAAACCCTAACCTAGCCGGGCTCATGCTTGCTTGTGAATCCCGAGCTACGTATCGGTCCCATCAACAGGATTTTCCATCCCTCACAAGAATAATCAGCAGCCAATATGAAGCGATTACCACTCCCCGAGACCGTGTATCTCAGCTACCTCCCGTTGCTCTGCTAACCCTAAAGCGTGTAGCTGGCTTGCTTCTGCACATACGGGCTTTATGATCTCCAGCCTCAAGAAACTTATAGATAACCTTTCGTCACGTTGATGGGATATATCAAAGCTGTCAACAATATTTCGTACTTGTACATAATAAACCAAATACGGCATCCCGAGTAACTGTAAAATGCTTACACCACACATTACATATAATAACTGTTCCCTGACACGCCGTTAAACTGCATGAATGTGACTAGGGAATCCACAAGAGCTCAAATGTTACATGCCACAACCGTAGTTCCTACATAATACCTCGAAAACTGCATAATGTGTGGTTCTTTGCAGTCTCATGATTCTGTAAATGCTACGCTTCGTGCTATCAGGATGGACCCTGGTATCAAGCATGCATCTCTAGTCAAAGTCTCAAGCCTACGTGACTTAAGCTTAGGTATGGTGGGGTATTGGAAATACATGATGACGAGATAGTTTATGTCTACCCAGCCCCTCGGAGGTGACAGTGTCTCTCTCCACACGCGTCGGTTTGGCGTTTTTGGAGTCCATCACATTAATAGCACGCTGCAGTCCACAACTCATGCAGCTTGTACAGCTTTTTAGCAGTAGGGTCCGTAGTTTAAAGCAGGCTTATGAGACAAGTTCCAAACCAAGACCTGTCTGGCCTGGATGAAAGACTTACAGAAGACGACGGAAAAAGAAAAAAAAAAAAAGAAAAAAAAAGAAAAAACTCTTTACGCGTCTCAAGTATTCTCTTAATTAGGATCTCCATATAAACGCGCCAAGGACTTTTCCTTCCTCTTTTTAATTCTCCTTTTCCACTACAAACCCTGCAATGAGTGATCAATTTCTGCAAGCCATCCCCTAGCCGTACGCCTCCTCATCCGTTTTGAGTTAGATAAAAAAGACTTTGCAAACATCTGAGCTCACTCTGGTCAATCGAAAATTTTCCTCGTTCTCCCCAGGAGCCTGTACTAAATCAATCAACAGCCGGAGATGAGCACACCTGCGCTGTAGGATCCTTTAGAACAAGTATCAATACTACGGCGCACACACGCACCCATACTTTTGTAGTATTATACCTAAATGGTAAGCAATCGTCGTAGTTAGACAGGCTTGGATGACCACAACCACATAGCCTATCTGGATGTCGCGAAAACCAGCTTTTGATGAGTGAGTCTTCATAATACCCAATTAGGGATGAAAAGATACAACGCTATCGCTGTTTTAGCTATCTACCGAACTGCGGAGATATATCCAATATACTAACCATGACCCAATAGTTTCATATGTTGTAGTATCCAGGCAGCTGGGTTCGTGAGAAGGAAATTCATCCTTTTTCTACGCAAGGGTAGTCTACATTTTCCTTTTTTCACATATGATATCTACTACATAGTATATAGCACGCAGAATGAACAACACAATAAAGCTAAACTAGGAATCTATAAACGCCGAAATCACTCCTGGCTTACCTACACAATACAGGTTTTTGTTTCGCCATGTCTTTTCCCTCTTAATTATCTCCAAACTTGCGTTTGGGCCTTTCCCGAGTTGGGTCTTCTTCCACATATGATCGCTTCTCTCCAATGCCAATATAGCCCGGCTTCGCAAAATCTTTCGAGGTTAGGAATTCCTCTCGCCATAGGGGCTCCGCCTTCATTACTTCCCACCGCTCTCCTGTGCGTGGCTCTAAGATGATGCTCTCCTGTGTTTTCATAACCACCTGCTGCCTAGCTTCGTCGAATTCTCTATCTAGTATTGCTAGCTCGCTCTTCCCACGAGTACCAGACCGGTCTGCATCGACGAAAGCCGATCCTTCACCTTTTGCCGGATCAAGGCTATGGATGAATACTACTTGGTCCGGTGTCTTTGCTTCTGCCCGCAATTTTTGGAAGTGCTTCGGATATACCAAACCGAGTTGCCTCGCTGTATCGTATCGCAAGAGCGATGGCATACGTCTTGCACCTAACACATCTCTACGATCTTCCCCCAGCCATAATTCTTTCGTAGTCGGCGCCGACCCTATGTAGCATGATTCAAAAGGTATCATGCCGCTAAGGCGGTTTCTGGAATTTGCTGGGCCCACCATGCTTTCGTTGATCCAAACCGGAACGAAACCTCCAAGAAAATTAGGTTCGTTAGGCCATACTGCCTGGTCGCCTTCCCCTACGAGAGATGCACCATCCATTGAGCATACCGAGACGCGCATTTCGAAGTGCCTCCGGTCCTGAATATCAGATACCGTTCGGATCCTCGTAACGCCCTGCGCAGCGTAATACTTCAAGTCGATATTCAGGCGCTGGAGATCGCTCAGAAGTAAGCTGGGGAAAGTGGCTCCGCTATCGAGGAGTGTCTCGAAGCAACACGAAACCTCAGTGTTCGGCCACCAGCCCTGGTCGCCTTGAACGAAACCTGTAGGTGTCTTTCTCATTACTAGTTTCCTGTCAACAGCAAATTTCATGTTTACCGCGTAAGTCCCGAAAAAGTAATTATGCTTATTCGCATTTTGAGTAAGGCACAGTGCCTTGTTTGCCATGGCTTCGAAGCCCGGGCCGGACAAGGGAGGTTCTTGCCAGAGCCAACCGGGACCATATCTCGCAAAATACCTATCTAACCTCTCCTGCCTGTCTATACAGAAAGACTGATATGAAGGACAGATATCAACGATATGTCCACCGTAAATAAGTGTGAAATTATTCGAATATGGTATCTCCCCAGATTGGTACCCTTGGATGGCAGCTCGAATGTTGACTTCCTCATCCTCACACTGGCAAGTATCAAGGGCCCAGTTCAAAGAATCTAGTCGTTCGCCGATGCGGTTCTTCTCTTCTCGCTTATCTCTGCAACTCGTTATTATGCGTACATCTTTGAAGGCAACGCCTCGATATGTACGTATTGCTTACTGGGGCGTATTATTTTCTTCATTGTCTGCCAATTCCAATCTCTCTTGTATTAAGTTTTCGAGGATTCTCTGATTGTGTGCGACTTCGTGCGGTGAATTTTCTTGGTGATATTTTATGATGTACCGTTGTTGTTCAATTGCACGATCTTTTTCTTCGATATAACTCAGATTCTCTCCAAGGTTTCCAATGACAAGTGTCTCCCAAGGCTTCCGCTCCTGAATGGCCTCAGCCTCCGTCGGGACTGGGTCATCGATGCTCTCTTGTTTAAATGTTGCCTGTGCAGCGTTTGAATTACCGATATCAGGTTTTCCATCTTCTGTCTCCTCTCTCCGTCTGTATTCGTTTGCGGGGTCTAGTCGGTCGCGGAATTGATGTCTACGTTGCAGCCGATTTCTGCGTTCCTCGTCTGGCATTCCAGACCTTCGTATACTCCACCCACGGCCCCGAGACGATCCGCTCCCTGGCTGCTGATCAGGAGATCCCTCTCGGGACTCCGGTAACTGGCTATCATCTGCCATTGCTATCTACCTATCCTATGAGCCTGTAGACTGTTTTAAATTTCGGTCGCTTCCAACATCTTCATCGATGTCTGGGGATAAAATTACAAACAGTTGTTGTGGCCTTCAGCAGTACTAACTATTAGCTAGCAAAGGATGGCGACGCCTCTAACACCGCAAACGGAAACAAGCAGAGCGTTTGTTTCATTTTAGTAACCTTGGGACTTAGTCTTACAATGGCATTCTTTGTCGAAATCGGACTATAGTGAAAGGATACCAGAAACTACCTCTGGAATGTTCAGCTCCTGCCCCCGTTAACTACGGAATTCCTTGGAAGGGAAGACAAGAACATGAGCTTCCAACCTGATCATTGAGAGCGAAAATTTTACCCATCTTTCTGTTTCTTCCTTGTTCATATGTTGCGGTCGACCGGCAGATACACGCTAACCCAACCAATTAATCCATCATCAACAAGACGTCTAGCTGACAATGAGCTTCTCTCAGTAAATTGAAACTACTGGATACTTTACTCACCGTCGTCTCGTGGAGTGCTATAGAACTCCTTATTAGCTGATTCCCATTCCAAGGACCCTGAAAAGAATTGCGGCTTGGAACGGCTCTCCAGACATAATGGGGGAGACAAACCCAACAACAGACGAAGCTTGGAACGAAATCTTATCACAAGTGCCCATAGGCCCTGGTGGTAGACATCCTAACATTGCACTGCCGCGAATCTTGAACTTTCTACTCGATGAAGACGTCTATAAACATCCGCAATGGGATCGTCGGCTGGAGGAGATTATTAAATATCTGAACGAAGCCGACGAGGGGCGTCTTCGAGGCGACCTCGGCTACGATGACCCTTACACACTCGCCGCGCTGGAAGATGCGCTCATCTTAGTCGATCTGCATCAGAGATATTACAAGCGGAATTCCAATCCAACTCCCTGGACGTCACGTATCATACCTGGTCAGCGTGTTACTGGACGCCTTCCAAACTTTCCTGGTCAATCTCTTACTCAGCCCGCCCTCGATAGAATGCGAAACAAGCATAAGCGTTACGACCAATTGCGCGAGGTCCAAACCGATGGTGTATTCCCTGAGTTGTCTGCGAGGGGAGGAAAAGCGGTTGAATACTATCAGAATGCAGAAGAACTTTACTTCGAAAATTGCCTCAAGCCCGGCACCTACGACAACCGTATTTTCAATGGGTTCAGAAATGAAAATGATATGTATGAACGCTGCATCGTAGGTGGAGTCGAGGAAACCTGCAAGTTGATTCCACCTCGCCCTGCAGACCAGGTTCCTACTGTTTTTGATGATGATCTGGATGCCACATATGGTACCGAGTCGGAAAGGTTACGCGACCTGACAGAATTTTACGAGGCGCGAGGGTGGCAACGGGCTGCGGTCCAGCAATGCCTGAATATGTTGACCAACTACGAGAACAAAGTTCTCAATACTCCCTGGCGCCGCGTGGTCTTGCCGTACGAGCAGCCGAATCCAGCATTGAAGGAGATAATTTACCAACCCCGGGCACTTCCCCCGGAGAGGGTCCATAAGAGTCTCAGGGAGCCATATCCTTGGGTATATTGGTACAACCAGCATGAGGAGCTTATCCAAGTCCTGGCTGGCTGGCAGCGGCGGCGCTATAACTTGGAGAATTGGACAGATTTCCAGAGGGCCGCCCTGCCAGCCAACTTCCACGGTCCTTACGTCGACAGAAATCTTTCGGTATACAACAGCCACTGGCTAGAAATGGGCGCGTATTTAAAAAGGCTACGTAAGCGCCTAGAGGACACCTTCGGCATAGCTCCTCGGCCATTCTTACTGGCTATTCTACGGGATATCCAAGCTGGGATAGAATGGCGCCCTAATCCGTTGGGAAATACCACGGAATGGAGCCCTGACGAGGCAGAATATCCTAGGCAAGCTCGTAGAGATATTATGAGGAGACCGAAAATCGATTGGGTTGAGTTGGATCCCTCTCTAGACTTACCTCCGACCATTTTGCTTCTCGATGAATCTGACGCGGCCTGGCTGAAATATCTCTGTCAGCCCTCACGTAGCGAGGCAATGTGCAACCCCGAGAAGCAACCAGTTGATAACCTAACCATCCTTTTCGATGAGCGGCTCCAGGATTTCCTCAACAACCCAGGCGCATCTGACAGCCCAGGGACGGCTGGGATAGATATTTTCGAGCCGAATGTACAGCAGTGGAAGGAGGAGACAAGGAACACTAGACCATTATTGGACGAGGCGCTCGCGTACATAAATGGTGGGGGGGACGCTGGAAAATCTCACGCAAACGAAACCTATCGGTTCCTACGCTCAGAAGCCATTTACCACTTAGAGAAGCTTCGTAAATTGGGCCGAGTTCAGTAAGTTCAGTAGTCACTGTATACAAAGTGGGCGAGTTTACTAACGGGAATCAGATACGTAGAGATATTTGACCGAAACAAGCCCCGAGAAGAGCGGGAAATTGCTATCATAAGACCGAAATACCAAATACACCCCGAGAATCGTGTATATTGGCGCCATGAAAGCCAAAGAGCATTCCGCACCAACCAGGATTTGTACCGAGAAGCAATAGTTGAGCATTTGGAAAACAAATATGGACTTAGCAGTTCAAAAGCCTCTATTGAGACGGAGGAGTTGAAACACATCCTCGATCACCTTGGGGATGACACGTTACCCGATAAGTTAGTAGGGAGTATCTCCAAGAATGGTAGGCCAGAAGAGGGCGAAGTTACCAGTCACGATTTGTTGCAGGCACAGATCCAACCAGAGATTGGCTGGGTCCAGGGCTCGTACCCGGAGGGAGGCCCAGAGGAGAGACGCAATGCGCCTAGCTGGTCTGACCTAGTTGACTGGGAGACATTAGGAAAGCTGTCAGTTGAGAGAATCAGTGATGATATCCGCAGTGAAATTCGCGAGGAAGCAATGAAAATGCGTCGTTTGCCAGTCCCAGAGAGGACTGTCCAGTTCTTTCGAAATCTTGCCTACCGAATGGGACGTACGATAGCGCACGTCGAGGAAATTGAACGCAGACTTCAGTACGCAGCTTACGATGACGGGTCGGGGATTCCAAAAAGTCGCGAGTGGAAAGCAATTTCTACAGAAGCATCTAGACAGGCTTATGAGCACTGGCACCTTACTATCCAGAACGGCGTGGGACCAATAGAGTTCCTACCGCCGACTATGGAGGATGTTGTCAACAAAGGTGACCCCGATGGGCTTATGAGGCGAGAGTTCAGGGGTCTAAGCGCGGCAGATATTATCCGAGAGGGCATCATTAATAACTGCGTCGAGAACCGCAACACGATGTACCCCGGCCGCATTGAGACTCTCGAGGATTCCTCAGGTTTCTATATTAATGACAGCAAATTCAAACCAAATAAGATACTTAGTGGTTACAAGCGACCAAGCCTGTTTAAATGGGCTACCCAAAGGCAAAGGCGGTACCAAGCTCCGTATACTAGGGGTATATTCTTCCATATGCTGCGTTGGCCGGTACATCTTCAAAGCGAACGCTTACAAGAATTTATCAGGCAACGGCAGGACGAAGTGGAAAGGGTAGAGCCAAGCCTCCCAAGCCAAAGCTACGGCATACTAATGGCTAGGTTTCCCGAAAGACTAGTAGAGAGAGTAACAAGTGGTTTGACACGGTATCCTGGGCCAAACAATCGTTGGTCTAAGGACCAGAGAACAAAGGGAACGACTTCGGAAAATGTCACAAAGACCCATGTGGACACAAAAGACCCAGAACGGAACGATGTCTCGGAACAAACAAAGGCCCCCATAGACACAAAGCATCCCTCAAGTACAAAGCCCGCGATCGAGACATCTACCCAAGAAGTTCCTCAAGCAATTCCCCCAGTAAACCATTCAGAAACGCCCCAAACGGCCCCCGAAGTGAAACCTCAAGATATTCCCCAATCGCGCGTTCAAGAGATCCCGAGAGGAGAAAACGAAGAAGGCCCAATAGCCGCATCAGCCATACCAGTTGAACCACAACGACCCAGTGCACATACTGACGACGCAGATAAGATGGCGGCGACACAAAAACCAGCTACAGCTACAGCTACGGCGGCAAACAAGCCTCTCAAGCAGCCTATGGTACCGATCACCAAGCCGGAAGAGCGCTTCGTGCCAGGGCCCGCCATCTTTCCTATGGCCGAGACTCCCTTACAAACTGTCGTTCTTAGTCGTCAACTTGAAGATGGTAAGTCATGTATCCATATATCCAGTTAGCTAGTAGACTTTGCTTTCGTTTGGCCTTCCAAGTTGAACACATATGATACTAACCAGGTCGCCGTAGTGGTTTACCCCCAGTCTCCCCTCAACCTCTGGGGTAAAGTACGTAAGGTCTACAAGGCTATGACAGACGTCGAGCCACCCCAAATTCCCCTGCTACCACCGACCCCAGACTCGGACATCCCTCGTAGCACTTCCAGGAAGCGCAAGATCCCGGCCGATTTCATCCTGGCCTCTGCAGCACAGGGTAATAAGAGAGCAAATACCGGAACTGACGTCAAGACCCCAAAGCCTACCGTACCGCCCGCAAATCGAAGGAACGTTACACCTTGGGCTACCCCTCGGCGCCATTCTCAGGTTGACCCTGTTGACTCCTTATCCCAGTCTAAAAAAACTGGTCAAGGTGGGCTCCCGACTCAACAGCAGGTTACGCCTCCCGTCACCCCGGCACGTCAATCGCAGACTACAACGCAGGTACCCCAAGGTCAGACTACGACTCAAGTACCTCATGGCCAGACCACCACCCAGGCCCCTCAAGGCCGTGGCAATACTCAGATCCCCCAGGGCCAGGTACCGGCTACTCAGCCCGCCCATCAACAAGCTACCGGTTCTGGATCCATTAGCCAGGCGCACCAAGACTGGCTCAACCGAGAATCCAGTGGGTTAGCCAAGGCCAAATCAGAAGCTTCACATCGTTGGAAATACACTCCCCTCCCTGGATTGGAGTCCAAGATGATAGCTGAGGAGCAGGCTAAGACTGGCCGCGTTGTAGATCAGCCATTCCCACCTGCACCACAGCACAACACTCAAGGTGAGAACCCACACGCGGACAACGAGGCCTTACGCCGTGCTTTCCCCAACGGTTGGGCTCCTCTAGGGCCTAGTTTCGGTCTCGATGGCGCTCTGCACGCTATCTGTAACAGCATGCGGCTCCAAGACTCGAAGAACCTCTGGCTTCCGGCTATGTCGGCCCTCCGTGCCTCGTATGATGATCCAGACTGCTTTGTCGGCGCAGATAAGACCGTCACGGACCAGAACCACTACGGCCTCACCATCATACAGGCCGAGGCTGCCCTGCAGCACTACGTCCGGCACGATGGACCCAACCCTCACCACGTCCAGCTATGCTGCATTATCCGCACGCCTCCTGGCGGTGAGTTCTACACCCACTTTGTACCGGCGCCGCCGTTCCCTGGCTCGGAGAAACCCCGCCAGGTGTGGATCTACTGCACGGGCGCCAACGAGTTCGGGGCGGTGTTCCCCGTCGTGTCGCCTCAGTAGAGCAAAGATTGAGAAGAGAAGGCTCTGGGTTGATGCCGGTGGCGTGTACATGCATGTGTATGGCATTTTATCATTAATATGTCATGTCATATTCTCATTTCGGACAAGCGAGCATACGACTCCCAAAATACGGCTTTTCTTCTTCTTTTTATCCTTCTGTCGGGTTGGGCTAGATAGTTAATACTTCCTTTTGTTGTTTATTCGGCAGATTGAACAGATTGGATTGTGAATTGTACGTAGGTCAGGGTTATGATCAAGGGGGCACAGAGTAACCTAAACCTAGTAAGTAAGAGAGGAGATTCGTCAATCTGTATTTCAAGGATTTTCTTCTTCTTTTTTTTTTATTGGAGTAGTTACCTTAGGTAGTAGTTATATTTATTTGCATTGCATTTATTCAAGTCACTTCTCTAGGTTGTCTTGTCTTAACTCTTGTATAATGTGATTTTAATTGTTTTTATATAACACACGTTACCTCGCTACGTGCTTATACACACTTCACACTTCCCGTCATTCGGCAATTTTAATAACCAATTTCCCGATTCCTCCCTTTCCTGTGGCCACTTTCTGCGCTTCCCTCCTGACAGCTTCGATGTCCTCGAGCTCAACAACGCGCTTGACCGTCTTGATCTTCCCTATAGCCAGCATCTCGCCGGCGCGATCGAGATCCTCACGAGCACCAGGGTTACCCGAGTGAAACTGGTACTTCACGTTAGTCCCTCTTAATTTAAATTTATACCACAGCTGTGCGAGTCCAGCAAGCCAATACACGAGAAAGGGCATTGGAGGTAGCATGACATGTAGTAGACCCGGCGTTGGTACGCCCGTGATAGACACCACCACACCAACATCTGGCTTCACCAGCGGGAACGTGCTCGCTAAAATCCACTGTGTGTTGTACACGAGGTCTACACTCCCCGGGGGGATAGCGTCCGCCAGTCTCTCCACGCGGGTATAGTCGACGACCTGGTCGACGAGCCCTGGGAGGTACTTCTCGACAAGCGGGACCTTAGCTGTGGATACGGTGGTGATGATCTTGCCCACACGATACACGTTCTTGAGCATCTGGATCGCGACGGAGCCAGTAGCGCTCAAACCACCAGACACAAATACCGTCTTTCCTTCGAGCCCGTCCGTCACGCCGTTCTCGCGCATAAGTTGTAGTCCTATCTCAATGGACTGCAGCGCAGTAGTAATATTGCCAAGGTCGCACACGTCTTCAAAAGAAGAGTTAATTGGTTTGGCGAGGGTGAGGTTCTCCTGAGCTACAGCATATTCGGAACAGAAGCCAATCTCAGCAGTGAAGTTCATTGGCCGGGATACCCCGAACGCGTAAACCTTGTCGCCAGGCTTGAATAAGGTCACTCCTGACCCGACTTTGACGACGACGCCCGCAGCTTCAATGCCAATCTTGTGGGGGAACCTATTCCAGGATATATCAGGTTAGGTACCAACGAACACATGTAATTCGCAAAGTAGAGAGAATATGACGAGCATACTTTAAATCCCCGACCATATATCGCATTGCTCCCCTTGCGAGCTGCGTATCTCCCGTTGCTATGCCCCCAGCATGTATCTTGATCAATACGTCCTTGGGGCTCACAACTGCAGGAATAGGCATATTAGTAACTTCCCAGCTGGTCGGCCATCCGTATCTTGGTGCCACAAGAGAGCGCATTGTTCTTGGTAAAGCAGCCATTCCAGTTTCCCTTTCCCGTTATTTCTTTGTTGAACGACCGTGTCGCAGTAATGTATATATATACCTAGGTATACATATAAAAGTCGAGAACTGACTGCCCTTGGAAAAGTAACTATGCGAAAGTTGACACGCGTTGAAGCTGGGAATATTCAGATCGGAGTCCCGAATATATATATATATATTATATTAGGTACCTATATATAGGTACCTAGGTAGAAGGTACATACATGCAGATACCCGGTAGATCCCGTTACTTTTCGGTGGGCTTTCGGTGGTTGCCCCACAGCTTCGCCGCCGAGTCGCGCCGAATGCTCCGCCGAATAAAACATTGGAACAGCGTTGAGAGGGATCAAGTAGATTACAAATATGGTCTCATTGCCATAACATCATGCATCTAACCCTAAGTACATAACTACCTACCTACCTACCTAACCTAACCTAATGCTAATTGACTCGCCGCGGCTGGTATCAACTTAAGGTACCAATAGTTGCGAAGAATAAAGTCGAGTTCCAATACCTATTCCCAGCCAATCCCACATCAGCGTATATCTCTCATTATTCTTAATCCGAGCCCGCAGGAGCAACGCGTTGCTTCACAAAACACCAGTGTCCCCCCTTTGTCCGAATACCATGCGTCCTATCCCCGTTGCTCCTTCGTATCCTGCGTCGCAGATGACGTGCCTTTAAACATGGGATTTTCGTGCAGGTTCTTCATAGAGAACCAGCTCCATGGCTTACTGCGTACGATAAAATTTCTTGTACAATAAATGCAGAAGGATGTTGACATTAAGCCTCAAGTTACCTTCAAACACATTCATGAACTGATGGGACTCGAATTGCGCCTGGAGGAGATCCTCTATCGGGATGAGGGCGCTCGCTCCTGGAATCTGGATGTGGCCGCGGCTACCCTCGAGGTTGAATACGCCAACCTCGTCACACGAGATGGTGAGGTTGATATTGCTCCAATCGCGTTCCGATACACCCTGCCAAGACACGACGACGCCCTTCTCAGCAAGAGCACGTACACTATACTTGTAAGAACCAAACTTGGGGACGCGGCCTGAACGCTCAAGCTCCCGTTGGTGGTTATACTGTTTCGTGAATGGAAGGAGAAATCGCTTTTTCCTACAACCCTGCTTGTCAGTACAGAAAGATCTTTAGAGGATTCCAATCGTCTTACCCTTTATTTTTCTGCAGCGTAGCCATGGCCTGCTCAATGTAGTCGTCGTAACTCTTGCGTTGCTGTTCCAGATATTCGGCCTTCTCGTGTAAATTTCCGAGAGTGAGTCGCACCCCCTCTAGCTCTCGTTGGCGCTGTATTCTGCGACGACTCTTTGTACGAATATCCAGCGCAATAGCATTTAAGATGTCTTGGTAATAATTGTGTTTCGTAATTCGTCCCATCTGTTCTAAGTGCATGATATTCTCCAGAGCGTTACGCTTCATGTCGTAGTATGACATTCGAGTCACATCGACCATGTTGACATCCGAGTATGCTCCCTTCGTATTACTACCAGACGCGAAGTCCTCTCTTAGGAGAGCTTGCCATTTATGCTCGTCTTCTTGAGTAGGTGGGCGAACGAGGATTTCGAGAAGGTTAGCGCCCGTCTGCACACGAATAATGTACAAGATGCAACGCTTGGTCTCCATGAAAAGAGCCTTGATATCCGCCTCCGGATCGTCAACATCATGAAGTTTCGGCGTCAAAAACATTTGAATGTCTGATGAGCCAGTCGCGTTCATTTCGCTCTCGTTATTCTTCGCACTGCCCAGGTCTTGCAAGATCTCACGGAGAACGTCGTCGCGATTAGGGCAGATCGTCGGTATTTCGTGCGCGACGAGAGAATGTATCGCAAAGATATCCGTCATCTTGATATATAGCGTTGGTCGGTTTTTGGCGTAGAGATCGTTGAATTCGTCGATGTCAAATGTGCTTTCAGCATCCGCAACAGAAATCAAGTTGTTGGTGATTTGTGCAAGTCTCTCGATAGACTCTCCTACGAAGGCGTTGAGAGGCTGTAGGTAAATGTTCTCGCCTCCGAACGGACGGCCAGAATGTATTTGGCCGAGGACTTTGGCAACTTCACCTAGGTTGCGCTTCTGGAGAGGGCTCAGAGTTTTCTCGATTACACCCACTTGTTCCGGGTTAACCAATGCTGGCTGCAGATAAAATCGCCAGATCCAGTTGCCCACGATTTGAAGCACATGATGTTGAGGTTCGCGCTGAAAGCGTTGGCATAGTGCTTCGAACATTTGCTGGCATATGAATCGCAAGCCGTAAGGCATGCGGGCGAGCAGATCCTCCAGGGCAAGGAAAAACTGATCAGAAATCTCTCTGAGGTCGCGGAGGTGATCAATGAATAACTCGCGTGTCTCTGGGTCCTTAATTGCTACATCCCGGGTTATGTCGAGCGGTCTCCGACTTGGGCGACCGGTGCGCAGCTCTTCATTATTGATGGCAGATCTGTATATTTGCATCGGGTCGCTCTCCAGATCCAAAGCGGGATCTTCAACGATATTGTCTCGTATTAGTGGGCCGAGCAGATCCCTCAGATATTTCCTGTCTCGTGGCGATCGGGAATAATTGCCCAATAGCTTTGACCAGAAAAAGTTACCGCGAAGGTACTCTTGGATAGAAGTACATGCGTCCACCTCCTCCCGTATCGACCTTGCAATAAGCTTGAGCAAGTAGTATTCTTCTCGTCTCTTTTGTGCATATCCAAAGAGTCCCATCATGAGAAGCTCAATGCGCTTGCATTCTTTCTCAGCTGTACCTAATTCTCTTAGTCTTCTGAAAAGCCGTGCTAGGTACTGTGGCTGAGTTTGGAGGTTGAAAAATAATTGCTGATACGATTCTAGCTTCTTTCTGGAGCTCTTATTGAGAGCTTTCAAGTCAAACTGATTAGCCGAAGCAATAGAGGCATTGGCTAGGAGACTGCTGGTATGGCCGCCAAAGGTGTTCTGATGTCGAACAACTTCGTCAAGGGTGATCTTGTTTTTCACTAAGAGGGCGATTTTAATATCCAACTGATCGATATACTGTTCAAGCATTTCATTCTGCCGGACTTGTTGGACCACTGTTTTTCGTAGCCTTTCAAATTCCACCTCTTCGTTAAAATCAAAGTCGCTGTCATTGAGAAGATGTACGAAGTTCTTTACTGCACCAACCGGGGGGTTTTTGCCGGTTGTAAGACTCCGGTACGCCTCTCCCTGGAGTTTAGCTCGAACGAAACTTTGAATTTTTACCACCTTCTGCATGTTTTCTTCGAAATGCTTCTTCTTGGCGGCGAACTTCTGTCGAACGATAAAGCCTTTCGCCAAGGATTGCAACTCAGCTATGGATTCTTCGTGCTCGTCGAGTTCAACTAGCAGTTGGCCGACATCACTGCGTAAAAGCATGGCTCGGGCAAGGGATTGCAATGCGACAATTTGGTCTTCGTGCGTTTGCAATTCATCGAGAAGTAGACTATGCTGCTCCCTGAATAGAGACCCACGAATTCTAGCCTGCAGGTCTGTGATGCTTGCTGCATGGCTTTCAAGAGAATCCAGATCGTCTGCGATCCGCTGTCGTTCGAGCATACCTCGAGCTAATGATTGAAGCTCAAGTATGGATAGTTCGTTATCACTCAAAGCATCTAACTTTTCAGTGATATCACGACGCACTGCCGCTGCGCGAATATGAGCTTGCAGGTTCCCAATCTCTGGCGTATGTTGCGCTAGTTCAGCTTTTGTTGCTTCGATATTCTGTCTGAGTAAATTACCACGACATATTGACTGAAGCGATTCCCATTTTGGACCAAAACTAGCCAGCGTCTCGCGTTGTTCATGAATTTGGCTTCTTGTCAGCATGGCCCTAACCGCAGCTTGCAAACTAGTGACTACTTGAGTCTCTTCTTCAAGCGAGTAGAGATCTCGGCTAACTTTCTCCCTCGCTAACATGCCTCGTATTGCAGACTGGAGTTGTAATACCGGACCGGACATGCGACTTGTTTCTTGTTGCTGGGAAATGAATTTCTTACGTGCTAGTTGGCCTCGGAACACAGCTTGAATGCTCCGTACAGGTCCATCCACCTTTGATAACTGAGATCGAGTTTCTCGTACTTCATTACGAACTTTTGCGGCCCGTACTAAGCTCTGTAGTGTCGTGATGTCTTTTTCCTTACTCTTCCAATAATGTTCCCTACGTGCCATTCTGTTCCGTGCAAGGAATCCACGAGCAGCACTCTGAAGATTGGTAGCAAATTTCCGCATTTCTAATCTGTAACCAATAACTTGCCGGGCCCAGTCGCCGCGTATGCGCGCTTGCAGGTCAATAAGCCAGTCCTCTGAGTCCCATAGTTGTTGCATAATATAGCCAAGTCGCATTCGAAGCATAGCACCTCGCATTTGTGCTTGGAGATCGAGGACAGCGGCTTCATTTTCCGACAGCTCACGATCGATTCGTTCCTCCTCAGTCTCTTCGGGCTCTGGCTCAGGCGCTGGCTCTACGCCGAAGTCAGCACCCATGTTTCCGAAGCTGGGCATATTAACACCGAGCTTATCCAGCCCCTTCTGCATAGCCTCTAATTCATGGTGCTCAAACTCTAGTTGACCAACTAGATTCCCTATCCTGAAATCCACGATACCCTTTCGGAATAAAAGCCAGCTCAGGGCGTGTATGCAGTATATGACCTTTGGGATATTCTTTTTTTCGTAGAGGTCAATTAGCTCGAATCGAAATAAATCAGGCAGTTCGACCTCATCCAGGTACCGGAAAAATGCAGCAACATTATCCCAATGCCTTGCCTGGAGCCGCGGGTGTCGGAATATGCGGTATCGTCGATTAGGGTTCAGGGCTTCCACCACTTCAGCTAAGGTAACGCCATCTCTCAAAGCCTCTTCCAGTTCTACGATTGGAGGAATCTGGCGATGAATGACATCCTCAATCCACTCTTTTGCCTCACCGATGTGGCAGAGGTATTCGTATGCTTGGAGAAATTGTCTCTGCTTGTCCATCCAATTGCGCCCTTCGAATCCATAGCGATCACAGCGTTGTCCACTCCTAGAGCCATTCGCGTTCCCAGCTCGTTGCAGTCTCCGTCGTCCACGCAGACCAACCACCTCTTGGGCCTGGGAAGTAAGAGCAAATTCGTCAGCAGAACTATCCTGGGCCAATTTGGATAAGGTGCGCAGCTGGTTGGTGGAAGAGCGACCCAATTGTTCCAAGTCGGGGGCAGCGAGAGTAGTAGGATGGACTATGAGGTGAGAGGAGTGCGTGGGGCTTCCGGGCAAGCTTGGACGTGTAGCATCGGATCGTGTGAGCACCATGGAAGTAGGCCGGGCATTTTGCGACTTGCTTAGCGGAGTTGAAGTAGGCGAGGTTTTCTCCTCATATAAAGAAAGCCTGCCAATGTCTACGCTCTGACCACGTTCCTGGCGGTCACGGCGTGGAGGCGTCTTGAGCTTTTCGGATCGCTGTCCTGAGGCAGGTGGCTGCGGGAGCGGGCGTAAGGATTGCCTAGCCAAGTTATACATGTTTTCTAGGTTCGTCTTGGGTTCGTCGTATATACTAGATCGCGGGGAAGGATGCCGAACTGCAGTTTCGCTCATGCCACGTTTGTGCGTAGAGACGGGTTTGCCATTTCCGTTGGAAGTTACCGATGATGCTGCGCTAGGTGGCCCAAAGTCAGAAGGGTCAGAATTGTTAGAGTTGGCCGAATAACCGGACGATGCTGACGACGAGGCGGTTGAAAGTTGCCGGTTGATAGAATTGGCAGTTGTGTAGTCAACGGTAAATGATTGACGGAGGGGATGGGGCCTGTGCGACATGTCGACTACTATGTGTGCATGTGATGTTGTTGCTCTACGTCAAGTTGAATAATACCACTGGTCGATATTGAAGTCCGCATCACAGCTATTGGAGCCGAAATATGCTAAGGTACCGTCGAAGTGATAGATAATTATTGTATGTGGTGCCAGTTCGTAGTCTTAAGCTGCTAGCAGCAGATATTATCTGGCTTTATTTGGATTTGGATTTTGAAATGGGTGTTGTAAACAAGATACGAAAGCGAAGATACCGAGACGAGAGAGGTTGTGTATTAGTAGGAAAACGCGGGAAACATGTTCCGGTAACACAAAACAGGTACCTATCCGACGACGGGATCCGCTTGGTTATTTACTTGCCCAGCGATTGTTGAGGAGCGGGGTGTAAAGTAGAGCATTCGATATTTTTTTTTTCTAATTAAACAATTAAAATGCAAGTCAACATCAACAAGTATTGGTCTTAATTTACAGCCTGACTTGTTTGGTGCCGGGTGCCCGGTGACGGGTGACAGGACCAAAAAAACCGATGACCTGTAATCCTGTTTTTGGAAGTTTGTTTATTTATTCGGGTGAGGAGCAACCTGTTGTGCCTGCCCCTCCTCACTTTGGACCAACCACAAACGGCGCCACGGACGGGGTACATAGGCGCACCAGCCACAAATTCTCATTGAAGCAGATAAGATGGATTATGTAGGTACACTGTATGTACATATGCTAATATGTAGCCACACCCGGCATGCATGATCAGCGCATTGCATTCACCAGAGAATGCCCCGCACGGTACCTAAAGTTTGTGCAGGGACCCCGCAGGAAGAACATAAAAAAATTTGGCGAGCTAGTCAAGGCTTCGATTTTTTTTCTCTTCTCCTTCTTCCTTTTACTCGGGAAGAAGAACATTGTTCAATTCGTCGACAGGTCAATTTCATTTCTCGACGTCGTCTTCAACCTCACCTCTCCAAGCCTTTTGTACTCTCTGTAGTCAAGATGCCGTCGCTTAACGGTTCAACTTCTGTCAACGGCAGTTCTAAGTTCTTGGACCCTTCTAGTGCCCTCGAGACGCTGAAGGAGTATCAATCTCGCGATGGCCTTGGTATTGAAGATCTTATTGATACCAAGCAGCGTGGTGGCTTGACGTACAACGATTTCTTAATCTTACCTGGTTACATTGGCTTCCCTGCCTCAGAAGTCGTACTTGACTCCCCTATCACCAAGAGAATCACGCTGAAGACTCCTTTCGTCTCATCGCCTATGGATACCGTTACTGAGCATGAGATGGCCATTCACATGGCTCTACAGGGTGGCCTTGGTGTTATCCACCACAATTGTTCACCAGATGCTCAAGCCGAGATGGTGAGGAAGGTCAAGAGATACGAAAACGGCTTCATTGTCGACCCTGTTGTCATCAGCAAAGAGACCACTGTCGAAGAAGCCAAAGCCCTTAAAGAGAAATGGGGATTCGGTGGTTTCCCTGTTACTGGTATGTTCTATCTTTTGCGTCTCATCTTTTTCTCTTTTTTTTCTATGGTTCATGTTCCACCGGTGTCGCCCTCCCATGGCCAGGTGCATGTATCACATCCTATGATTACAAACCTAATATTATAACTTTCGTTCCACCGTATAAGACAGAAATGTCATGGGGAATCAATTATGCTCTTTATGATGATGTCAACTCAACAAGTTTTTTAATTCTTCAAACTTGATGTGGTATCCTAGCTAACTAAAGCTTGTAGAATCAGGCAAGCTTGGAACCAAACTTCTGGGCATCGTTACGAACCGCGATCTTCAATTCGAGGATGACCTCAGCCAAACGGTCGACAAGGTCATGGTGACCGACCTGGTCACGGCCCAGTTAGGCGTCACCCTTCCTGAGGCGAACAAGATTCTTGCCAAGTCCAGAAAGGGCAAATTGCCTATTGTCGACAAGGATTTCAACCTGGTGTCCATGATTTCTCGTTCCGACTTGACGAAGAACCTGCACTTCCCACTTGCGTCTAAGCTCCCCGACTCGAAGCAGCTCATCTGTGCTGCCGCGATCGGTACCCGTCCGGAGGATAAGATTCGCTTGAAGAAGCTCGTTGATGCAGGACTCGACATTGTTGTGCTGGACAGTAGTCAGGGCAACAGTATGTACCAGATCGACATGGTCAAGTGGATCAAGCAGGAGTATCCCGGCCTCGATGTCATTGGCGGAAACGTAGTGACTCGGGAACAGGCCGCAAACCTGATTGCCGCAGGAGTCGATGGATTAAGAATTGGAATGGGTAGCGGAAGCGCTTGTATTACACAAGAGGTTATGGCTGTGGGTCGTCCCCAAGCAGCTGCAGTCTACTCAGTTTCCTCCTTCGCAGCAAAATTTGGAGTGCCATGCATCGCTGATGGCGGTGTCCAAAATGTCGGCCACATCGTCAAGGGTCTTGCTCTTGGAGCTTCGACGGTCATGATGGGTGGCCTACTCGCGGGCACAACTGAATCGCCGGGCACTTCGTTTGTTTCGCGTGAAGGCAAGCTTGTCAAGGCATATCGTGGTATGGGCAGCATCGATGCTATGCAAGATAAGAAGGCCGGTGCCGGCGGTAAGAATAGCCAGGCTAGCAACGCGGGTACTGCCCGGTACTTCAGCGAGGGAGACAGCGTGCTTGTTGCTCAAGGTGTGTCTGGCGCTGTGGCGCACCGCGGATCTGTCAGCAAGTTCGTACCATATCTAGCAGCGGGTTTAAAACACTCGCTGCAGGACTGCGGTATGCGAAGCCTGAAAGAAATGCACGAGAGTGCTGCCAACGGCTCCCTGCGATTTGAGATTCGCACCGCCAGCGCACAACTAGAAGGTGGCGTGAACATGGAGAGTTACGAGAAGAAGCTCTATGCTTAAAACGTTCGCTCAGTATGGAAAAGGGGGGGCTGGTGGGGTGAGTAAAAGCTGGTTACCACTCAGTGGCAAAATGGGTTGGTTGGTTGGTTGGCATGGGACAGACGAAGATTGGCAATTCCGAAATGTTCGGGACGTAATGATTTCCTCAGATAGTCTTCGGTGTGGAAAACAAAAACAAATGATACCACTTGATAGCTTTATGTTGCATGATGATGCACGGTAGCTTCATCTCCATAGGCGTTTTATGGCTAAGAGGGCAGGTCATGTCAGGTTAAGCTGCGGCGACTTGGTGGGGGGAATTTATGTCCTTTTTTTTTCCTTGGGAGTAAAACACGGAACGGTGGTACAGTCGGGTGAATACAAACAGCTTGGCTATTATCTGATACATGATGCAACGAATTGATTTCCATGTATGAACCAATAAATGAGGATTGCTGTTCAAGCAAAACGCGAAGGATATCATATAATGCTACCTATGTATCTTAACCATTGTCGTCAATGATAAATACTCTTTTGGCTCCGATGAACCCCGAGTCCGTTTTCGAATCCTTAACGCCTCCCACCACCAATAACGGCAGTAATCACGATGTTGCCGTTACTACCTAGGTACATTAGGTACCTTATAGTCTTGTTTATACGGCCATCAAATAAAGTGCCTTACTTTATACACCATCTAGCATATTTATTCCCGTTCTTAGGTGTATTAATCATCAAGAAGGACCATCGTATACCAAACTAAGCCGCAGTTCCATTCCTTGAAGCAACCTAAGAAACATTGTCTCTGGTTTCCAGCGTCCCATAATGATTGGCAGCTTGCGAGTTATTGATGCAGTGTATTAATGGGGCATCCTCTATTGGCTGCAGTTGTTCTGGCATGACGATAATGCTAGCCTGGCTAGCTCTAAACTCCTCATCGTCGGTGGTGAGCTCGCCATCACCCTCCAAACCACCTTCGTCCTCGCTATCGGATGAAGAACCAATGTCGCTCGGTCCGTCACCTTCCACAATCGACCAGGCGGGTATGGCACCCAGAATTGCGATGAAGGCTATGAGCCACCATGGCAACCCGATTATGCCCCGCTTAACACCATATGTGAAAACCGCACCTGTCATGGCAGGGCCGGTAGCTCGCCCAAGGGCACTGAATGTTGTCGCGAAGCCATTGAGAGTTCCTAGTATACTTAAACTCTTGGCGCTATTGGTGAATAGAAGGATAGCGCAGGGGAACCCGATAATGACAGCGAACGTCTTAAGAACTAGGAGGGTGCATAATGCAGTGTAACGCAATATCGTACCTTCGACTAGCACTGTAAATGGTGTAAGGAAGTAAACAATCGGAAATAAAAGAACGCTGGCCTTATAGCAATTCATGACGCCGAAGTGGGTACACAAAGGTGGAAAGACCAGAAACTGTACCAAACCAGATATAATACCTTCACCAGCGAAGATAGTACCAATGTGAGCGTGATTTAATCCAAACCCGCCACTAAATACAAATGGCCATGAGGTATTATCCGGTGTATGTTTTTGTGATGGATAGTTGAGGAACACGGGTAAAACTTGGTCGAACGAAACGGAGTGGAGAGCCAAGATCGTATAGGCCGTAAGAATAATAACGCTCTGGCGAGTGAACACGGAAAGAAGAGGTAGAATTTTAGGCTTTTTGACCCTTGACTCTACGGTAGTAATATTAGCTACCTTCGAGGATGTGTCTGCGTCTAACAGCGGTGCCGATGCCTCGATCGCTCGTACAGACTGTCGCCTAAGGCGTTGTGCTTGTCGGTGGAGGTGATTTCTGAATACGTTTACGACGCGCTCACCAAGGATTAAGCCCCAATCCCGGGAATTCCGTTTTCTATGAATAGTCTCTTCGAGAAACAGAAACCCCGTGGTGAGAGATATTAGGAAGAAAATGGAACCGATCAAGTTCGGGAAAGCGAATGGATATTTCCTGAAAAAAGCGATGTCGCCAAAAAGGCCAGGCCATTGTTCAGCGGGCTTCGCAAAGAGGCCGCCGAAAGCTGGGCCAAAAACTGAACCAATGCTCCAGACTAACGGCATGATTGAGAATGCTCTCGGTCGGAGCTCCTTCTCGGTAACCATCTCTGCAACCATGGTCCGAATAATCCCAACTACATGAATTAGCATGAAAAGTTCCTGATTTAGCCCGGTGACAGTCACAAACCATTTCCGTTACCGGCCCCCATCATAATACGGACAGTGATCGCCATTGGCAAGCTCGTTGACATGCCCCATGCTATAAAGCCAATCATCGTGAAAAGTAATCCAGTCAGAATAGCAGGCCTCCTCCCCAGCCGGTCTGAGGCTCTGCCCCAGGCTACAGCCGTTATACTCTGCGAAAGGGAAAAGGCCGAGATAGTAATGCCAGCCCATTTCGCGATCTCGTTCCTTTCGACGCCGAAACTGGATATCATCTCGGGTAGGTAGGGGAAGACGGACGTGTACGCAATCGGTTCGGCGAACCGTGCGATGGCTGAAAGCGGAATTAGCATGGAATTCGATAGGAGAGCGTACGGTTTCTAGCAGTGCGCGACATTATCGACTGATTATGAGCTCCTCATCACCTATTTCCACTTCCATCGCTATCTGGCTGTACTATGGTTTCATACGGAGTAGATGATAGTATGCTTCAACATGTCACAGGGTAGCCAGGCAAGATGCGTGAGCCAAAGCAACCCCTAGCATAAGGGCAGGTCATCTAGTACATGGTCTATTGACTAAGGCAATAGGTATGAATGATACAATATCCTAAACAAGACACATTCGTCCGGGAGCTAGGTTTCTCTGGCATAGAGTTATGGTATTGCCGGCTGTAAGAGAACATGACGTGATATGGACTTATTCAAGGGGAACGTTATAATAGAAGTAAACAAAAGAAATTCCGAGCTCACCCAATATAGTCAGTTGTTTGACTGGTAATTTTGGGCTATGGTCTGTATTGGTCATTTTCGGTCGTTGCGTATCGGAAGATGGGAAAGGAGAGAGAGAGATTGAAAGACGAGGACTGGTAGTCCAAGGGAACTCAAACAGCCACTTCCCAAAATTATATTAAGGTAGATGAATCTCGTCCAGAGTATGACAAGGTGGAGAGTCGAAATTTAGATACAACAGCGGCCACATCCACGTACGTCTAAGTTCTAACACTGGAGTAAAGAACGGGGAATAGTTGCACACGAGTGCCAACCAAGATGGAAACGATAAACCATCTAACCCGAAGTAGGTAGCAGGGAATAATACGGTTATGAAGAAGAAGAAAAGAAAAGGAGAGAGAAGAGAGAGAGAGTCAAGGAATGCTGCCCCGACGATACCTCCAACATCTACATCTCGTACCGAACATGTCTAGGCCATGGGTATATCGGCGCTTGTTACTCCAAGACAATGTAGTCTTCGGAAAAGGCCCACTTTCAGCTAGCCGTAGAGAACACACAGCTACAAATCGGAAACCAGGTCACCATCCGCTGCATAGCCCCACCAGATTTTGTACATAGTAGAGAACGCCCAAGATCGGTTCATATAAGCAAAATTGCCCGGTGTCGGATGCCAGAGAACATGATCCATACCAGTTTTTATAAGTTTGAGCAATTGAAGGAAGTCGATATTAAAAGAAGAAAAAAAGAAAAAAAGGTCACACGCCAACATCAAGCCTCCTGATCATGCAAGACAGGGTCAAGGAAATGATTTGCGCTGCAACAAGGGTGTTTTAGCTGTACTTGCTTACGAGGGATGTAAGGCTTGAACGTAACAGGTATCCAGTACCCGCTAAGACTTAAGACCTAGGTAAGATCGATAAGTCTCGTCGGCGGCCCCACGTAGGTAGGTACCTAGATAAGGCCGGAACATATGTAACCCAACGCCGAATCCGATTGCAACATTTCCGGGGTTCATTACGTGAGGTCCACTCGGAGTGGCAACACAGCCTTAACGTTCCCACAAGTAGCTTTCGTCGCCTTCATTTGTCACCGCTCCCAACTCAACCTTATCTCAGCTTCATCATGCACTTGGCCCAATCTAATGTCGGCCACGATGAAAAGATGGCAAATGAGTACACACCATTAATTACTACCGTTACCGTCGGCCCGGTACGACGAAGGTATCCTCATCAAACCATTCGCCGGTTCTGTACTGTCGCTTTAGGCTCATCGCTCATTGCTCTTTTCATCACATTTCTCGCCACCGTTGTTTTCGCACCTCAGCATAACACTTACCACGGATGGCCCGGTCACCATAAGAACCACCTCAGCTATGAAGACCTCAAAACCATCCTTTTAGAAACTCCAAGTTCATCGAAAGCCACGGAGTGGAGTAGGTATTACACCTCCGGCCCACATCTGGCTGGTAAGAACTTGTCACAGGTAAGACACTTTCAACTTATAATCGAGACCGAAATCCTTAACATCGAGCATAATAACAGGCGGAATGGACGCGCGACAGATGGAACGAATGGGGAATTAACTCCAATGTTGTAGCGTATGAGACGTACATAAACTACCCGGTTGGTCATCGTCTCGCTCTTCTGGAGAAGACCAAGTCAGGTGCCGCTGATGCCGGGACTTGGAAGGTCGCCTTCGAAGCTTCCCTGGAAGAAGATGTGCTCGAAGAAGACCCGACCTCGCAGCTAGAGGACAGTGTCCCAACATTCCATGGCTATTCCGCGAGCGGGAACGTTACCGGCTCGTTTGTTTACGTGAACTACGGTACGTACTGGGACTTTGAAGATCTCATTAAAGCCAATGTTAGCCTTGAGGGCAAAATTGCTGTTGCTCGTTACGGTGGTATTTTCCGAGGTTTGAAGGTTAAGCGGGCTCAAGAGCTCGGTATGATCGGAGTTGTTATCTTCACTGATCCGGGTGACGATGGAGAAACTACAGAGGCGAATGGGTACGGCACATATCCGGACGGTCCTGCGAGGAATCCTAGCAGTGTTCAACGTGGAAGTGTTCAATTCCTAAGTGTTGCGCCAGGGGACCCAACAACGCCCGGCTACCCTTCCAAACCAGGCGTACCCCGAGCCCCGGTTGATAAAGCCATCCCAAGCATCCCATCCTTGCCGATATCATACTTGGAAGCGCTACCAATACTAAAATCCTTGAATGGAATTGGACCTCGGGCTCAAGATTTCGGCCAATATTGGACTAGGAATATCGGTCTCGCTTATAAAGGAGTCAAGTATAATATTGGGCCCTCGCCGGATGACATTATGCTCAACCTGTACAACGAACAGGATTATACTATAACGCCGATATGGAATGTAATCGGCATCATTAACGGCACTATTCCTAACGAGGTTATTGTGGTTGGCAATCATCGAGATGCATGGATAGCTGGTGGTGCAGGTGATCCCAATAGTGGATCCGCCGTTCTAAATGAGGCTATTCGCAGTTTTGGCAAGGCTTTAGAAAAGGGGTGGAGGCCCCTGCGGACTATAGTCTTCGCCAGCTGGGATGGTGAAGAATACGGTTTGGTCGGTAGTACTGAATGGGTTGAGGAGTACTTGCCTTGGCTAACAGCCGCCAATGTTGCCTACATCAACGTCGACGTTGGCGTTCGCGGTCCAATTTTCTCTGCTTCGGCCGCACCTCTGCTACACAAGTTAATTTATGACGTGACCGCCTCGGTACAGTCTCCAAATCAGACCATCAAAGGCCAAACTGTACGTGATTTGTGGGACGGGCGCATAAGTACAATGGGGAGCGGTAGCGACTTTACAGCCTTCCAGGACTTTGCAGGAGTACCCAGTCTTGACATCGGCTTCGGTGAGGAGACTGTCAATTCCCCGATCTACCATTATCATAGCAATTATGATAGCTTCCATTGGATGTCTGAGTTTGGCGATCCTGGCTTTATATATCATAAGACAATGGCGCAAGTTCTTGGTCTCATTACCGCGAAACTTGCCGACGTACCGCTCCTCTCCCTTAACGCAACAAACTATGCCGACGAGTTGAAAGAGTATATCAAGAAGGTCGAGACAAAGCTGACGACCTCTCAGCCAAAGCTATCTACCGAAAAAGACGTATTCGAGTTTAGAGCCCGTCCTGCTGGCACTGGGGTAAAAGGCGACCCCGATAATCTGAAAAACTCACTGGGTCGCTTATACCAGTCTGTGGATGCATTTAAACTATCAGCTATTAAACTAGATACCAAGTCGGAAAGGCTAGCGAAAGAAGTGAGCAGACACATCCCTTGGTGGAAATGGATTAGCAAGCTCAAGCTGGTGCATGAGATCCGGTCAATCAACACCAAGTACAAGAAGGTTGAGCGCGCCTTCCTATACCAACTTGGGTTGGACGGTCGGCCTTGGTTCAAACATATAGTTTTCGCTCCCGGAATTTGGACCGGCTATGCAGGCGCTGTATTTCCTGGACTCGACGAGAGTATCGACAAGGAAGATTACGTGAACGCTATGAAGTGGGTTTACATCATTGACGATTGTATCAAGACCGCTACCAAGACAATCGAATGATTGTAGGGTACACGGAAAATTGGATTCTATTAAGGTTTAGATTATAGCCGATTTTTATAAAATAGACTACTATATCAGATATCATGTAGCAAGTCAATGGACGTTGTTGAGCCACAAATGCATGTCTGCGCTTGATGGGTGTGCAGATGCTTGTACAACTAAGGTTTGCTATACTGCATGGCTGTTGTATATGAGCGAGATCGAATAACCAATAATTGGCGTCCTGAGAGCATCGATGTGCAAGAAGCTCTTCAGTAGAAAGTGAACTATTCGGAAAACGCCGGGGCTGCGGGTTTTATCTATTCAGGCGGTGACACGACTAAGGTACCTATTTTCACGTTCCCATATACCTACTACGTGATGTGCTGGTCAAAGTGGTAGATGGCACGCTCATTCATGAGCCAACTCTCGACTGTCCATACACTCTCTTCCTCTACACGTATTGAATACCTCTTACTAAGGTTCTATATACCTACCTAATCGTATTCCCTTAATCCATGATATGTCCTAGATCTTACCGGCCAAAATTCCCGCTTGCTCCCTACAAGATAACGGCGCCACCGCATCATCTTATTGGGCAATTACGCATTTGCCACGATTGACTTGGTCAGCCTGCATACCTGCTAAGCATTACTGCTTTGTAACGTTGTAGAGTCCCCGCAGCCTACATATCTAATGAAGCAAGGCTATACTATATGGCGAGTCGAAAATTATATATTATTTAGCCCTCTTCCCGTTTAGGTCCCAGTCTCTTTCATTTTGTACCCTATATCTTTCCACCTCAAAAAGCTCCCCTCTCCAAATATTCATACTATGGATGACAGCAGTTCCATGGCTAGTTTCGAAGAGATTGGCTCCTGTCATAGGGCTCTTGGGTTGGGCGAGGATAAGAACACTGAAAAACTCAAGACTCTCGTTGCGAAGTCAGCTGCCAATGGCACCACAGCCACAGATGTCGCCGAGGATGAGGTTTCTGATATCTGTTATGTGCTTCAGTACAAGGGATTCGGTGGGAAGCTTGTGACTTGTGAGTTATCTTGTCGTAAGAACTAAGATCCAATCAAGTTGATAAATTTGACAGTACATCGTAGTCGAGAACCTATCAATATCGAGCTAGATGAAGTTGAAGAAGGAGGATTTTCGAGGGAAAAGCCTATTCTTGAGGTCGTAACTCGCGTCTCGATCTCTGTGAAGAAGAACAGATCGCAACTCGGCCATCTTCCTTATCCACGTCGTCACCAGTGGGATCCTGTTTACGACTTCAGCGTGAACAATGAGTATTCCCATCACCACACTCGCAAACAGGAACATGATAAAAACCCAGGGATGAATATAGTCCAGGTCGAAAAGAAGTCCATGGTCATCCACTCAGTCCATCTAATCAATGCTCTAAGAGCCATGTTAGGGTATTATCCCGATACGTCCCTTCTTGGAGACACTGTTACTATCAACGCACCGTATCACATTCTCGCCCGTCACCAGGTAGCGCTTGCTCGCTACAGGACTAACCAACCAAATATCCATGATGAAGAATATGCCTTAACAACTGCAAAGCACATCGACGTACTTCTTAACTTCCTTGAGGAAACATTGGGTGCCCAGACCCGTGAAGAAGAGAAGAGACATGATAACAAGATACCCACGGCCACCTTCGACAATCTCTGGCTGATATTGAAACCTGGGGATATCATATATGCCAAATACGATGATCAGTGGACTCCGTTTATGATTTCTAGTGTTGTCGATGGTTCATCTGCCGACGATAATAGAACCCCATATATTATCAATTGCTGGAATATTTCGTATATTTCTGGAAGATTCTGCCGTACCATGCACTCATTTGATATTGATCCCTTCAATGGAGAGGAGATAATCAAAAACCTTGCCGTCATACCTTACCGTTTCTTTCAGGGCGAAAATAGCGATGTCACTCCCCTAGAAGCTATGGCCAAGCAGGTCCTACTCGGAAAGAGAACCTGGGAACTTTCAAAGGGACCAAATCACATGTTCTATAACGGGCCTCTGGTTGAAAAGAAGTCGGACTTTGACCGGGATTATCCAGGTGCTACAGGCCACTTAGAAGGCCGTGTCATTGTCGATGGTGTTGGGTTCTCGCATTACTCTTTTGATCATCCTGAAAGAAACAATATCCGGTCACGAGCACGCTCTCCTCCGCCTAATCGCACACCGCCGCGCAAAGATCAACTCCCCTACTTTGCCCCAAGATGCACCTGTAGTGCTTGTACCAAAGCAGATTTAAAGGAGACGCTGAGCCTATTTGTTGCCTTCCAGGACCTTGACCCAACTAGAGACTCGGCGCCGGAAGTCGACCTCTACTACGTACTGTTGAGTAAGATTGTTTCCGGGTTCATACTTCGCGATCGACGCTGGGGTCATTTCAATGTTAAGCATCTTCAATACGTAGAGTTCGACAAAGAAGCTTTCAAGTACCTCGTACTGGATGATGAGGTAAAGCTTACGGTTCGGTCACTCATTGGTAGGTTTGCCAATACCCATGGCCAGGTCAGTCCGTGGCCAAACGACTTCGTCAAGAACAAGGGTCAAGGTCGAATCTTCCTCCTCCACGGACCTCCAGGCGTAGGCAAAACTTGCACCGCCGAATGTGTTGCAGAGCTCACCTGTCGTCCTCTTCTCTCACTCACAAGTGGTGACCTTAATATTGATTCTTATAATGTCAGTGTACCGATGCTTCCTCGGCCCATATTAGAAGCCATCTAGCCCATAAGTTACCCAAGACATTATCGAATGATTCTATTTACACCCGCTAAGGAGGTATGATCCGCAATATCTAGGCTGCTTGCTAACCTTGCGTGATGGATTAGGTTGAGAGAAGCCTCGAATATTTCCTGAAACTGGGCGAACGGTACGGTGCCGTTGTATTGATCGACGAAGCGGACGTGTACCTCGAAGCGCGACACATGCTTGACATATCACGCAACAAGCTAGTCTCAGTCTTCCTTAGGGCGCTTGAATACCACCGAGGCATTCTATTTCTTACAACGAATCGAGTGCAGACGTTTGATTCAGCCTTCACGTCATGTATCCACGTGGCCTTACACTATAAGTCGCTGACAGATGCCGACCGAGAGAAGATCTGGCTCAATAGCTTTGAGAGGTTAGAACGCGACAGCGGTGGCAAGGTATATATTAGCGTGGCGACACGCGAGTACGCCTACGAGAGCCATGATGTAAAGAGCCTACGCTGGAACGGCCGAGAAATCCGCAACGCGTTGCAGACGGCCGTCGCCCTTGCAGAGACGGAAGCGGTCGAAGACGACAGGGATAAAGTTACGGTCACCGATAAGCATCTAAGGGCTGTAGTTAAAATGAGCCGTGGCTTTAAAAGTTTCCTGAGTCAGCAGAAGAAAAGGACCAATGATGACGTCGAGAAGGATGACGAAGAAGAAATCGAGGATAATTGAGAAGGCTCCGCCGTCCGCGTCAACTAACTGACAGCGTCTTGGCTTCCTTGCCCACAGTTGCTAATCTGTAAGCATGTGTGATGATTCGAAATGGGGCTATAAGTTTGGCTATGGTTCTGGTACCTATTACACAGTATTTGGGTCGGTGCAAATTCCATATGGAAATGAGACGACCTACAGATTTTCATAGCTCAAAAGCTGAAAGCCAAAGAACCCCCCCATTCATTGTGTATTAGCTCTACGAATGACTTAAAGGAAGAATCCCATTAAATGATGTAGGTGATAGTAGTATGGGTTACCTTTCTACGCTTGTAGGTTGTGCAGGTAGTGCAGGTACACGTTGATAGCAGAAACCTGTCCACGCCATCTCGCCAAATGATTAGCTGGCGGAATGGGGTTCATAAGGGCCATGGAGTCTACGTGTACTTCACGTACTAAGGACACAAAGGATAATTTCTAAATAACTACTTAACCTAATGTAGGTACCTAATGGGTTCTCTTTAGTCAAAGCAGATCATGACACTACCCATTTATACGACGAAACGAACGAGCTTATACTTCAAATCGTGGGGCCCCGCTACGATTTCCATTATACCATCTTTACTTACATGCTCCTCTTACATCGACATACCCGGAAGGTGGTCGAGCCCTGTAATAAGTTAGCGCCTGAGAATTATTACTGGGAAAGTTGGAAACTCACATCCATCAGTTTCCTCACCAACCATATCAGGGACGGTACACTTGTTAGCCGTAGACATGACTTGCTTCGTGATGGAACCGCAGCCATCGTAGAAGCATTCAGACTTGTTCATAGCACGCTGCAACGAGTCGCCCTTCCAGCCGAACATGTAGTCGGCGTGAGTGCCGTAGCCGCTGGTTCCGTGGAAACTCCATACAAACGGATTGGGGGCTCCTGAGGGCCACATGCTGTTGAACTTGGTCGTGTCCCAGACCGTCTCATAGGTCAATTGAGGCATGCGGACGGGGTGAGATGCAGGACATGGCGGGGCATTCGTAAAGCCGTCGTACTTAATGGTGTTATACATGTGGGATTGGTGGTCGGGGCTATCAAGGTTCTTGCCATCCCAGCATCTGACTATTGTTATTATAAAACACCCGTAGAAGAACAGTGGACTACTAACGCTGGGAAGTGGTGAACAGTAAATATACCACCCGGGCAGGGCCTGGTAGGGAAGTCCACCATCTCCGGACCTCGATTAAGAGTGGTCTGCAAACAGTTGTATCGCAGACCAATGTGGCCCTTGGCCTTGTCCAAAGTTTCTGTTGTCGGGCTGCCAACTGTCATACGGAATCCCTATAGAGTGTTAAAATCCAAAGCCCTGTTATAGTGCATAGAAGACTTACTGGCTTGAAAGCAGTAATAGGCTGATTCTTCAAGTCGTCGGTGGTGAAATCATGCTGGGTATAGTAGATAGTCATGCCACCCTTGGTACCGGGTGCCAGAGCAGCGTTGTTAGTCACTGGGACTCGGTGGTAGCTACCGTTGGTCGGGTGTTTAAAGTACAGCACTGCGGTCCAGTAGTTGGAGAAGTCCTCCGACATCTCACAGGTGGTGCAGGTGGCTCTCGCTCCAACATCGCCAGTCATGGTGGCGTTGAAGGCGTTCCCACCTACGATATGGTGGACATGGGCCGAAGGGTTATTTCCCGGCTCAACAACAGGATCAATACGTTGGATGGTCAATGACGAGCACCCAAATCGCAGACCAGCCTGAACTGGCGCAGCGAGCGCTAATGCAATGGATAACGACTTCATCTCGGCGACGTATTTATCTTAGCAGTAGAGGCATGCAGAGATAGGCCGTGCAAGTCTCGCAGCCCGGTGTCCAGCTCGCTCTTATAAGTAAGGTTCTGCCCTTGCAGAGACGTGAGGTTTCATGCCCAGCCACTTATCTCACTGCCCGCCCAACCTGGGTTGAGGTAATATATTCCTATATACACAGCATGTCACGGTAGTTGAAAACTGAGCTTGAAATGGGGATAGACTGGTACAGATCGTCCCCATGGGGAACTAGGTTCCATCCGCAGTACTATGATTATTTTGCCGGCGACAAGGGTATGTAATTTACACATGAGATGAGTGGCAAGTAAGGTCCCTTTCACTACCCGGCAAATATATAACAAGCGGATTCTGAAATCGCGGCAAAAGTCCCTGTTCGCAGGCGAGTAAAGAGTATAGCTAGCGCCAAAGCTGAAATTGTATTACATCGCATCGCGTCGCATCGCATCTTAGAAAGGTCAAATATAATACAACGAATGAGAAAAGTAGTAAAACCATGGATGTATATGAGTTGAGCATAAGACACTTAATAGCAAGATAAGGCCTGGGGAGCCCATGAAGTACATCTGTAAAGTCTGGCCCAATCGAAAGTAAGGAAAGTATTTGGAATAGTGAAAATTGAAATAGCGATATGAAAGCAGAAGGGATAACAAACAGGTAAAGTATGGATGAATGGAAAGTCATGTTGGGAGGGCTGACCAATCCAACCATAAGAGCATTCCATGCCAGGAGCTGCATAAGGCTAATGTGGGCGGCGGTATTGAAATCGAAGACAAATTCATGATGCTAGGCGAAATAGCCATGTATTGTACAATACGCGAGTATCATGCGGTAGGTCTGGGAAGCAAGAGGGCTTTATGTGCATTACTAATGCATTTTTGGAAGACAAGGTGTAAGATAGTACATAAGGTAACAAGAAATGATGATAAAAGGGACCAATGACAAAACCGGAAAAGATGTAAGGGGGGGGAGTGAAAGGCATATAGGGTCAGTCTGGAAGTAGAATTAGCACAGCAGGGGACCGGTAGCTCAGCGGTAGAGCGTGGGATTGCAGTTAAAATGATGACAATTATCCTAAGGTCACGCGTTCGACCCGCGTTCGGTCCTTATTTTTTACACTTGAAAAAATGTTTTTTTAAAAATTATTTTATTTAAATTATTATATAATATAATTATATAGTTTAAATAAAATTATAAAATAATTCATTTTTTTAAAATGATTTTTAATTTATTTTAACTTTGTTTTTAATATATATTTATTATATAATAAAATTAAATTTATATTTATATTTTTAATTATATTGTAAAAACAGTTATATTTATTTCGGATAATTTTAAGAAAAAGATTTTAATTAAATATATTATTAATAAAAAGTTAATTTAAATTATAATGTAAATTTAAATAAGGATAATAATAAATTAATTTATAAAAAATAAAAATAAATTGTATTATTTATATATTTTAAAAAGTTATATAAATAAGATTTTTTATTTAATATATAATAATAAATATTATTTTAGCTTAAAATAAATAATTTATAATTTAAAAAGTTTTAATATTAAATAATTATTATTAAAATTAATAAAATATTTTTATTATTATTTAAATTATAATATAAATTATATTAACTGCTATTAAATATTAAATTAATTTAAATTAATTTATAAACTTCTGTAATTATTTTATATTATTATTATAAATTTTGTTATTAATTTCCTTAAAGTTTTAATAATTAATATTATTTAAAATAAAGTAAGTTTTAAAAAAAATATAATATTAATTATAATTTACAAATTTAGTAAAAAATTATTATTTATTTTCAGAAATATAAAATATATTATAAAAGATTAAGTTAATATATTATTTATTGTAAATTAAAGTTTATTAATGAAAATAATATTAAATAAAAATTTAAAGTTTATATTTAATTTATGGTAAGTGCTTTAAAAGAATTATAAAATAACTTTAAGAATTTTAATAAATTATTATTTATAAATAAATAGTTAAAACGAATAATATAATTAAAATATCGAAATTGCTTTAAAATATTATATAATAATAAAATAAAATATAAATTAGATTTTTATTATTTTAACTTTATAATATAATTTTAATAATTTTAAATTTATGGTATTAGGATATTTATTTAATAAAGTTATATTCGGTTTTAAAATAAGGTCCTCTTTATTATTTTTAAAAATATTAAAAAATTTGTTAAATTTTAAAGTTTAAAAGAAATTATATTAATAAAAGGTAAAAATATTCTTAGATTTTACTATTAATAATGTTAAAATTAAATATAATAAAAACTGTAACTTAAAATTATTTAAAATTAATAAAAAGATTTACTTTTATTTTTATAAAAAATATTATTTATTAAGGAAATTAGAAAGAAAGTAGTTTCTTTAAAAAGTTGGACTTTTTATTATTATTAAAAAGATAAGTAATTTAATATATAAATTTAATTTCTTTAAATATTAAAAAATGTATAAAATGGTATTAGTTACTTATTTAATATTAATATTAAAAAGATTTAATTTATTTAAAGGGTTAAATTAAAATTTAAAAGAATTTATATTAAAAAAATATAAATAAATTAATTTCGTTTAAAATTAAGTTTTGTATAAAAAGATGGATAAATAAAGTTAATAAAAAGTTAATTATTAAATATTTAATTAAATAAAAGGGTTATAGTTTTAAAAAGGATTAGTAATATTTAAAAGAGCTTTTAATGAAAAATGTTTTAAAGTTTATATATAAATATAAATAAAAATATTGAAAAAAAGTAAATATTAATAATATTATATTTATAATATATATAATATAATTAATAAAAATAAAGTTTATTAACTTTATTTAATAAAATGAATAAAGATGTGTTATATTTTTATAATTTTATTTTAAATATTAATATTTTTAAGAAGTAATACTTTTTTAGGTAATATTTTTTAATTATTATTTTTCTTTTTAAATATAAATATATTTTTTATTTAAATTTTTTTTATATTAATATATTTTTAAGTAATATTTTTTAAAAAAAATTTATATAAATAGCTTATTAAGTAATATTTATTAAATAAATATCTTTTTTTAAAAAAAGTATATTTGTTAGACCTTAGTTTTTAGATTGAATAATTGTTGATTAAAAAAGAGAATTTAATAGATCTTTCGGATTTGTTAATTCTCTTTTAGATTAAAATAAAGCTTCTTTATTTACACTTTTATCTTTCTTATTTTCCTGACAATATTAAATAATATATTTAAAAGTAATTATTTAGTAATTTAATAATAAGCGTTTAATATTATTTTAAAATTAAATTTTCATTATAAAAAAATGTAGATTTATTTTTAAAAGCTTAATAAAATATTAATAAAAATAGTTATTTAAATAATTAAATTATTAATATAATAAATAATTATATTTAGAAAAGCTTAGTTACTTTAAATAAAAATTATTATTATAAAATTATTTAAAATTTAATATTAATAAAGATAAATTAATAATTATTAAAAATTTTATTATATTCATAAATTTATGTAAAATTAAATATAATTTTTAATTTAATAATATATTTAATTTTAATTTTCCGGAAATAAAAATAATAAAAATATTATATATTTATAATAATAAAGACCTTTTTTATAATTATTTATTATTTATTAAAGGTAATAAACTTTATTTGGTTAATAGGTAAAATTAAATAAATAAAATAAGTTAAAATTGTAAAAAGATAATATTATAATTGAAAAAAAAAATAATAATGTAAATAAGTTGTAAATATAATTATTATTTAAAAAATCGGTTAAATTTAAATCTTTATTAAAAGTTACTAATATTCTTTAATAATGCGTTCTTATTTTTACTTTCTTATTTAAAAATAGCTTTTTAGTATTACATTATTTATATTTAAATTTCCTTTATTTAAATCTCCTTTATTTAAATTTCCTTTATTTAAGCAAAATTTTTTTTAATAATATTTTAACTTTTTATAAAATGTTTATTAAGTTATTTAAAAATTCCAAGATATAATATTTGATTATATAATTAATAAAGTTAAAAAAAGAAATAATAATTATAAAAAAAGTACTAATTTTAATTAAAAATTAATTTAAACTTTAAATAATATTACCTAAAATTTAATTGCAAATATAATAATTTAATAAATATTAATTAATTCCTTAATAAGTTTAAATAAAAGGGTAATTATTAATGGTTATTATTAAATTAAAAGAAAAGAATATATATTTATATTAATAAAAAAAAATAAAAGTGTAAATAAAGAAACTTTATTTCAATTTAAAAATTAAGATTTAACTGTTAATTTTTTTTAAAAATTTTAAAATTAATAACTATTTTTTCTTTAAAATTTCTCATACTTTTTTTTAAAATTTTAAACTTAATAATTATTACTTTTTTAATTATATATTTTCTAATTATATAATAAACTTAATTTTCTTTAATAACTTTCTCTTTCTTATTAATCTTTTATTTTTTTAATATTAATTTTTATTTTCTTTAATATTATTAATAAAATCCTTTAACGATTTACTTTCTTAACCTTATATTTAATAAATTTTTAAATATTATTAAATTATTACCTTTTTAAATAAATATTTACAATTTATTTAAATTCGTAAAATTTAAAATAAAATAATATAAATTATTATTTATATTATATTTCTTTTAAATAAAGTAAAAACTAAATATTAAATTCTACCTTTAATTATTTAACAAATAAATTAAATTTAAAATTATAAATTAAAAAATATATCTTATTAAATAAATTTTAAATACTTTTTAAATTAATAAATAAATTATTTAAATATATAATAAATAAAAATACTTAAGATTTTTAAATTATAAATTAATTTAAATTTTAAAATATTAATTATATAATAAATTTTTTATTATAATATATTAAATTTTATTAATTTAAAGGATAATATCCTTTTATAATATATTAATAATTTTAAATTACTTTTATAAAGGTTATATATAAGTTTAAATCTATTAATAAAAAGCTTATTTAATTAAATAAAATAATTAATATAATAATTAAAATATATTATATAATTATCTTTTCTTATTAACTTATTATTCTTTTTTATTAATTAATATTTAAATTTATTACCTTCTTTAGTTAATTAATCCTTTTTTATAAACCCGCTTATTTAAAGTTACAAAAATTACCTTAAAAAGAATATTTAAAAGAGCTTTT